ATTGATAAGACTTGTCACACAGTTTCAATGATGTTAACTGGTAATATATGTTTAAGTGCATTGATGTGTGGATGTTGTATGTTGGCTATGTGTTTAACAACGTTTAAAAATGATCTTAATCAAATTCAATTTCAAGATTCCTTATGTATTTTTCGAGCATATATTACTTATGTATCAGGTGCTCTATTTATTAATTCATTTTTATTAACAGCTATTCGTCAATATTTTACAGTTATTTATCGAAATCGTTTATATTTCCAATCAATTCGATTTCAATTTTTATTAATTTGTTTAACATGGATACTTGCCCTAGAGAAAGTACTGAGTTCAGGGTACCCATGTACTGAGAAAGCTCTAGCAGGGTACCCAATATGGGTACTTTGAAAATTCTCAGTAATTTTACTGATGTATGTACTGTTTGGGGTACCCGTAAAAGTACATTTACTGAATAAGTACCTGCGTGGATACCCAAGTCTGTAACTTTACTGAGGAAATCTCGACAGGGTATCCTAAATTTTTCGCGTTCTGTGTGGCGACTATTCATTCACCGTTTTCTTTTTTACGTACGGCTCTATATAAACAACTCGATAAATCATAAGAAAATAATCAATTTTCATACTAGTTTTTTCTAAATTATTTCTTGACTATTTCTTAGTCGAGGAAATGCCGAGCTTGGTCGTAAATTAAGATCAGACTACCCTGAAGTGGTCTACGACCAACTCAAGTTGAGGCGGATCCCGACATTGTTCCTGCTAAGTTTTTGGAATTGAAGAAATTAAATTAAATAAAGTAAAAAAAAGTCTAGTAAATTATCTCCAGAAAAAGAAAAAATTTTAAAAAGTCAAAGATCAGGTTCGATCCTGAACATACTGAAAATTTGGTAACAGGGTACTTAGAAATACTATACAATGGTACCCAATTCAGTACTTGATCAGTACCTTTAGATACCCAATTACTGTGCATTTTCCATCAGGGTACTTGCCAAAGTACCACTTAGGTACCTGTAAGTACCTGCAAGTACTTTGGTACCCAAAAGTTCCTGTGACATACTGGTATCAGGGTACTTTTTTGGGTACCCTTAACTCAGTATATTCTCTAGGGTTGGTTTGTTATTTCCTATGCCCACTATATTTACTAGTGACATTCGTTACAATGTTGACAATCAAATATGTCAAGTCTATCTTGGATTTTCATTTTCAATAATTTATATATCATTATGTACCTATGGGATTCCTGTTCCATTTATTATATTTATTTATTTTAAATTAGTTCGATATGTTCATGACATAAGTAATCGTGTTATACCTGTAAATACATTATCCCGTGCAAAAAAAGAATTAAAAATGGTTCAAAATATAGTTATACTAGTATTTATATTACTTATACTTGGTGTCCCATATGTATTGTTTATTTTAATGTCATTTTTCACAAAACCACCAAAATATCATTTTCGAATAGCTTATCTATTTATTGAGGTATCATTAGTATTTGTATTATTGGCTTTATTTCAATTTACTGAGCCAGTTAAAGCATGGATGATGAGAAAAATAAATAGACGATTAAATATGGTAGCAGCAATTATATGAATGAAATAAATCCTACATAAACATACAAAAGAAACTCATTTGATATTGTGTTGTATTTTTTCTTCAAGTGGAAAAAAATCACGTATTCAATAAAAATTTGAGATATGAAGTCATTGGATCTCATTAGAAATATAATCATTTCAATTTGAAAGCTGAACATTATCTAGGAAATAAGTGATCAAAGTTTTTTTCTTCGTTGAATAGGAAGACTGAGATAAGTTCGACAGAATTCGATAATCTTTCGCAAAGGGATTTTAATTTTAATGATTTACAACTAAAATGACATCAAACTTACATAAATACTCTACAATTTAATTGGATATATATTTGGATGTGGATGTGAGTGTGGGGTGTGGGTGTGTAGCGTGTGTGGGGTATGGGTGTGAGTGTGGTCGTGTAGGTAAGGGTGGGTATGTATGTTGATATGGGTGAATAGCAGATACAAACCCACACCAGAGATAGCACCGATACCGGTTAACCGGCAGATCTGGTACTTGTACGACTTTTAGATTGGCCGGTCTGCCGGTAGATCGGCCGATAACCGGTAAACCGACCAGTGTAACCTTTTCAGAGCACTATCAGTTCTAGTTGTCAAAAATTCAGACTAGTTCCATCTCTATATCAGGTATGTGATACAACTTGGCAAATAAAGTTTGCCACGCGATAAAACATGTTCTTCATATCTAAACCACTTTTTTTCTGATCTTGAATTATCGATGTATCATGCGTTACAGGTAGACCGGTCGGTCGCCGGTAGATCGGGTATGGGTGTGGGTTTGTGTGGGTATGATACCAAAGGACAGAAGAATACTGTTTCACACACATTCCGAAACACACCCACACTCATCCACACCCACCCTGAATGGTCACGGGCGGCTATGCAGGCACCGTATTATCTTAGTTAATACTGTGTAGATAATTATTTTTCTCATTCACATATTCTTTGAACATAATGAATATACAAAATATAAGACAAAATAATTCACATGTATCAAAAAAATTAGACAAAAACAACTATGCCGTTTTAAGAGAGATTTATTAATGCTTGTTTCTCTAGTATAAAACGAGATCGAAAAGAATCCTTTTGGATTTTTTTGTGTTTCATATTCAAAGAAACGATCTATTAACGGAGTACCAAGTATCATATTCATTGAATGTTTTACATGAATAATATAGTAGTAATGTCATAATTAAATTAATTAAATTAGATTATGAATACTTAGCATTTTTATTTTTTCTAAAAGACAATATTGATAATCATGTAGCTTTGTACAACAAGCAACTGATATCCACCTAAAAGCAACAAAGACAACACGAACCAAGCTATTTGAGTATCAATGCGAAACTAAGGCGAGAAGGCTTAGAGCTTATATGAAGTTTGATAGAGAATAGAGTTACTTAAGATAGAGTTTGATTGATCGAAATGTAATTCTGTCTGTCTTTTTTAATCATTAGTATGCAGTAATATGTCGAGAACCGAGACGTATTTTCATCAATCGATAAAGCCCTGTGACGTTCCAGATGATAAATCGTAAACCAATAGTAAGACCACCGTAAAGACCAAGTACTAATGTAGCAACATGCAAGATATTATTGCGTATTACACATTCAAAGTTGCAATGAGTTGGTGAACATATAGCAAAATAATCTTCATAGGAACTGCTAATTGTCCATTCTTCGATAAATAATTCGTCCAAGAGCGTACCAATTGAAGTGTTCTTTTGAAAATGTGAAGGAGTTGAATTGTCTAATGGAGATATAGTGAAGGGCAATACTGTAGGTGGAATGAAATCAATAGGTGATGATCCATCCACTTGTGTGTAGTATTCAAGATAAGTGAGAATAGTAGAGACGCAATTGGATGAGAAGAAACATTCCAGTGTGGACAGGCAAAGTCTATCGAAAGGTAAACAGCCAATAAAAAGACCAGGTAAAAAAAAAGGTCTGGTGGACCGATTCGTAATGGTTCCTTACATGTTCCCGAAATCATACAATTGCACGTAGTGTTAGTAAATGTGCGAGGTACACTTCGTATGAGATAACCATCCGACTCATCACCATATTCCAACAACCAATCAGTATTGAAGACTGTCGGCAAAAAATTGGAATGAATTATCTCAAGTGTGAAATATTCCAACCGC